CAAAATAAAATCCCTGACAGGAGTAACTATAAATGAAAAATTAAATTGTTCAGACAGATGAAATATCCCAAAACACTATTACAATGACATTTTTAGTTTGTTTATTTGTCAATTTGCATGTGACATTATGCTCTGTAATAAAAGACTGTCAAATATCATCTTTGTCAAGTAGGAAACTGCAAGTTGCCTTCAAATATAAAGAGATTATATTGCTTTAAAATAAAGATACAGATTTTTCATTAAATGTCAGGATTGCTTGTTAGTGTGTGCTGATCAATTAATTATGCTCTAATGACTGGTTTATTAGAAGATGTGGGGGTGTTTTTGACATTGATATATTTTATTTGGATTGTATAAATGTCAAAAAAAGGAATATTTATTGAAATATAAAAGTGTTTATACTTTTAAAATGTCACATTTGATGATATAGTTACAGACCAAATTTGACATTCATGTGATATGGAGATGGACTTATTTTTTCATTGTGATTACCCTATTTTCATGTTGAGGTTATATGAATCAGCTATAAAATGGTATTTTTTTTGCCTTTTTTTTATAAGCTCAGCTATTCAAAGAATAGGGAGAGCTGTTGTGCTCACACAGGTGGTGCCATCCTTGAGTTTTTGCGTGTAAGTTGGTATCCCCAACTCTACTGAAGGTAATGGGTTAAAACTTCACATACTCATTTGAGAGCATGATAAACATGGATTTTGACAGAATTATGGCCCTTTTTGAACTTAGAAAATTGTACATTTTTCAGGCTCTTGTTCACACTGAGCATAGATTAGCATGCTGTCCTACTGAGTATTGACCATAAACTTTGGTACTTCAATACTTAAATTTCTATAAGTTTCTGAGAATAAAAAGGACTTAGTTTCATTGACGTATTTAAGTGGTATTATAATAATAATATAGACTTTATTTAAAGAAGCAACACAGGCAAGCCCAGTCTTCCCTATGAGCGGCTTTATCTTATCTAATTGATAAAAGGTAATTACATTCAGGTCTGTCTGAAATGTTTAAAGGTGGCTTTAAATATTCAAATTTAAACATGTTGAGATTACCTGGCTATTGGTGGGGACACATACCCATGGGAAGAAAAAGAAATATCTAGAGGATTGTATTATTTCTCAACACCATAATTTTTAAATTGTTATGACATGGCTTTCACTTAAACTATTTTCACTTAAACTTACAAGGTTTTTAAAGCAATTGCAGCTCAATTTAAAAAGATCTTGACTCCCAAGAAGTTTCAGGTTCAGATATTATTAAACTTGTAAGTTGTAAAATAAATGGTGAAATCCTGTAGATTTTTGTTGTTGATTTTTTTCTTAAGTTTATGTCCTGTTTACAGCTTTAAAAAAAACCCAGAAAAGTTTAAAAAGAAGCTCATTTTGTTTGATGGAGTCAATTTTGATAATGGACTAGCTGTACATGGGATTTCATTATCAAGAAGTAACTTAAATTGCGCAGGGACATGGACATACAGGCTGGCATGGCTCTAACTACAGTATGTTCACTTATATAGGCATAGGAGAGTCATTATTGCTGTTAGCATGAAAAGGTTTTTAGCTTATAAAGTGCATTACATTTAGATTGGGACATAATATGGGACAATTTAACTGGAGATAAGTTCCTTGTAAAGTTGTTGTCCAGTCAGGTACATAGGATGCTATTTTGCATTGTTGATCAGTGAAATGGTATTTTTTGCATAAAGTTTGGGGGAGAGAGAAAAAAATCAACTTGCATAAGATTTTAACAGTCTTTTCATGTTAAAATTGTTTTAACATGAACTTACAAAAATTTGTTAATGATAAAGGCATTTAAAGGCTAACTGTCCGTCTGATTGATCTGCTGTCAGCTGGATGCCAGCTTATCTAGTGCATATAGGTAGTTGCTAGTCTCACTATATGATTAATCAATTACAAGATTATAAAATGAAAAAAGAATTATATCGCTGTGCTGTTTAATATATGGTAACTTATTAGTTAAGTTGACTGACTTTCTTGTTGATCAGTGGAAATAAGGATATTTACTTTTACACACTTAGACAAAAGTATCAGTGTAGTTGACAAAGAAAAATACATCATGTTTCACTGTACAATATCCTTGATATTTGATCATTTGCGTTTGTAACATGATGACACTGTGACAAAAGCTGTAAATGTATTTGACGTCATACTTGAAATTCAACTTGCTAGTATCATGTTTTCATTGTGTAAGAATTTTGTTTCATCTATAGTTTCATTATAACTCTCAAATGAATTCATATCTGTTAAAGGGACTCCACTGAGGTTTATTGACCTTACAGATTGGAAATATTTTCCTAAGATTTTAAAACCATTTGATGAAGGGTCGGACTGCAGATATTCAGATCATTCCTTCACCTTGTTTTTCCAGATCGTCATTTTATTGAGCAGATTGACCTGAAAATAAAAATAGTTGAAAAGCTTTTTACTGTAATTGGGCAAAGAAGCCGCAAAAAAAAACAATTTTCAATTTACTTCTGAGCATATTTCCTTATTTCTTATTTGCATTAATTTTTGTAGTATTTTCCATCTTAAGTGCTTCCCTATTTTAATATTTTATGTTTTTAGGATTTTTGATCTCAGTTGAGCTCCTTTAAAGACCAACCATATCTTTATTACAGTGCTTAGAGCATCTGCCTTTCTCTTCTGTTGGAGGTCAATGTCAAACCCATAATGACAAGTTTATAAATGGTACAAGAGGCTGCCTGGATTGTCACTGGTATCATGGGCTATGTTTCAGTATTTGACTGAGTGAAATATCATGTCCATGATCATCATATGTTAGCAAAAATTGGCAACATATGAGCTGTTTCAGGATGATACTTTGACACTGTATCTGTATCAGTACTCTGGTAACTATGTAAGTGGTGTGGCCCAAGTGATTTAAGAGCATTTTCATATTTATAGTGGTTTTGCAAAAGTAGCTGGCAGTAAATTCTACTGAAGTCTGCAATTTAGCTGCTTTAATTATGTTTCTGTATAACTGAAAATATTTAGAAAAGTTGATAAATTCTTGCACATTCTTTCTCTTTTGTGAAATATTAAGGGCTTTGATATGTATGAGGTCATTACCCTCCTCTTTGCACCATAAGTTATTAGTACATGTAGATATACGCAATGTACTAATCTGGTGTCTGAAAGCATAAATTGTGACATTTATTGACTATTAAGATTTTATTGTTTTATAGAACTTGATCAAACATAATATAAGATATTAGATTGTAAACAAAGAAAAAAATCTGTTAAGCATGTGTCATAAAAAACAGTTTGAATTGTAACATTTGTCCAAATACCAAAGATTCTTGGTTACAGTTTTACATGTAACAACAATCTTCAAAACTAGTCTACTGAAAGAATTCACTTTAAACCTTATATATGTCTGTTGGATTATCATTTGAAGTCAGTGTCTATGGCATGGATTTTGAATGAAACATGGCCATTTGTGAACTTAAAAATCCAAAACTCATATTTTTTTTATGAAATCTTCCTTTCTGTTAATTCTTACTTTATCCAGGCTCTTATTGTATTATATCAAGCACTGAAAATAGTCAGGCGTGCTTTTCTGCTGACAGCTCTTGTTGACTGTTGTATGATAATAACAAGTTTGTGGGAGGGAGAATTTTAGGTCTTCACAAATGACAGTAATACATAGAACATTGTTAACTCTGAAAGAAAATGATGCATGATTATCAACAGAATGGTTTGAACTTTGCAAACCTTGCCAAAGTGCCCAATATTTAAAGTAAATGTTTTCTAATGAACATAAATAGACTAAATAAGATAATTTTTGTTTTTGGCAAACATTTAAAGTGCAGTTACATGTTTTCATAAACATCCCACCCACAGTATATTTACAAAGTTCTTGCTGTTTATGGAGAAAAGCAAATGTTTGTTTTGTGTACTGGTATATATTTTCCCATACTTTTACTTGGTATTATTTGGCATCATAGATGATAAGATCTCTCCTTGATTTTATTAAAACAGTATTGGTGTAAATTGTTTTAATGGTAAACAATACTAACTAAACATTAATTAGTTTCTGCTAGTATTCTTTCATTTAAGGAGGGTATAATACTGATTATGAAGGTAGATGGACTGCAGGTGTCCTCCATGCTTCTTTGTCTTTACTTTCTCTTTGACCCCCTTGTGGCTGAGGGGTGCTGTAATGGGTTGAGGTAACAGAATTGCAGCCACCATTTATCCCTGCTTAATCAACAGATAAAAAGATGGTTCAGGCAATTGGCCAATGATTAACATTATTGAAACTATTAAAGGTAAACAAAAAATAAAAACCTTTTGAGAAATATAAATAAAATCATTTCTGAGGCATAATGGGCCATTAAGCTACTAAGAGCACAATATATAGAAAAAGAAATCAAATATTGAATGGCTAAGGGCATTTTAATGATTTCTGGCATTGAAGCTGGTTTATTACCATATGACCATAAAAGAGTAGTTGTAGGATTTTAATGTCAGACCAGACAAACATTTCAAATTTTGTTATCAGTCTATAATAACATTTTATAAATTTGAAACAATACTTTAAATGATTCAGGGATCATAAATCATGTAAAATCTTATAGCCAATTTGCATCATTATTTATGAAATAAAAATAAATTTTTTATAAAAGATACACTTGACTGTTGATGTCTTCAATAAAATTGTTACCTTAAGGGCATGTGTCAAGTATCCTTTTAGATCGCTGTACGATAACCTCTTGACCGTCTTACGCTGACTTAACATATGGCTGCTGTGGAGAACAAAAACAGAATATAACACTTATTTTTACGCCCACCTCATGTGTCGTTCATTAACCATCAGTGATTGTTATTATGTTACTATGTTGAATACTAAACTTTCTCAGCATTGTATTCATTTATTAATTAGCGATGTTTCTAACTAGTACTCATTGGATATAGAAATTTTTTTACATCAATATCAAGCTGAACATTACTTTCTCTATTTTTCAGGGATAATAAATAGTATATGTGGATTGAAAGTGATTTGTAACCCTGAAGATTGAAGGAATTGGAAAGTGAGTAAATTTTGTTGTATTTAGGTTTTCGATTGCATCGACCCAATTGATCAGTACAGACCTGATCAGTACAGACCATGTCTAGCCGGCAAATCTGTGCTGCCTGATCATGGTCACGTCTGCACTGTTCAGTCTTTACTTGTCTTGAAATTTTCCCTGAAATTAATAAATGGTTTTGCCAGATTGAAAGGTGGACAAGTCTGTTTAAGATAATTTGCGAGGAAAATGTGAACGGTGTAGGTCTTCTTATGTATTACAGTTCTTTTCAAAATTTGTAAAGTTTTTAGAAATACAATGTATTAAAAATATTGCCATGTAAAGAAGTGAACCCATACTTAATAAAATCTATGATTTATCAAAATATGTAATTTCCCTTCCTTAAAATGATAGTGGGTTGGAAATTTGATCAAAAATAATTAAATATAGTGACTTAAATGGATTGTATTTGATACTCATTTTTTTAAACTCCCAATAAACTGTTTTAGTTTTTTAATTAAAAATAAATATACATGTAAATATATCTAAAAGACTAAAAGTATGCAGCTTTACTAGATTTTAAGAAGATTCAAATAATGATTTACATGTTATGTGCAATAGTCATTTTGATAAAAATTGATGAAAATTATTCCTTGTTTCTTAAACTAGCGAGGTGATGTTACTTTACGTATGTATAAAACTGTTATAGGTTGAATGGCATTCTAATGACGTACAAGTTTTAACAAGGTTAATTAACGATAGAAAAATAAGCTATAATACCATGATTTCACACTGAAACTAACACGGTGAACTGTTAATGGGTGTGTCTCGAGACAATAGTCATTGAATAAAGTGGACACTATTTTACGTTGTTTTCAGTGTAATATAACCATTTGTCACACTGTATACACAATAACGGTGTAAACAGCAGCATAAATAATGAACAATGTTCATTTGCGTCATCGATTATATATAAATAATGCATTCTCTACGTCATTATAATGGTGTACATTTTTCCTTAACAGAATTGTGTGTGTTATTGAGTTTGGTTGTTTCTTCCTTATTGCAAACATTTTTTCTTTCTGCATTCATTTTGTGCATCTGATTTCATTTAATATAATCAGTTAATTTCATGCACAATTTCTTGTTTACTGGCATATGAGCAGTTATCGTACAAAAGTATTGATACGTCATTATGGTGTCTATGATAACCATGGATTTTTCGGCAATACATGCAGAAAGAACAAGTTCAGGTAATGGGTAACAACCTGTCAAGACAGCCTGCTAATCAATGAATTTCAGCCAGACTTTATATTGTTGCTTAATTTTCTTAATGTTGAAACTGTTTTACATAACATTAGACACATATTTTAAATCCTGCATTTCAAGATGCTGGTGAATTATTCATGAACAAGGCTTGAACATTTCCTTATGATTAAACATCTGCATCACTTCAGAGGTTCCTTAGAATTGTTCATGGTAAATAATGTGTACTAATCATGAACTTTTATTCAACCAGTCATTGAATTTAAGATTTTTAATTTACTGGCCCGAATTCCAGTTTTGAATTTCTTCTTCTATATATTGAACTAAATTGTTTTTAAATTTACATATTTACATGGCCCGAACTAATTTTCACTGGCCATGGGGCACCGGGCCAGTGCTCAATTGGATGACTGTAATGAACTAGCCACTATTCTTCAAGTCATGAACTTTAATTAATTCATAATAGTTCTTGAATTGTTCATATTGTGGCTTTAAAAAAACAAACCAACAGGACATTTATGTTCTTAAAGTCATGAACTCTTTTAGATAAGGTAACATTTTGTTCTTCAAATCTTGAACTTTTCAAGCTGATTGATGAAAAGTGCATGCATGTAGTTCATGCATGTACCCTTAATGATTTCATAATAAAAGATCATGAACAGCAGGAAAAAGGTTTTAAATATCCTAGTTATTAAGTTTTTGGTCATGATTTGGATTTTATGTTATTTTAATTCAACCTTAATGAAATCAAGGGATCTGGTTAGAGCATTTAATTCATATTAAAACATGTGTTACTATGTTTTTGAAAGTGTGGCCTTACACAATATAAATTTCTAGCAAATTTGTTGTAAAAGGAAATTTTTAATAAAGACCGCATGTATCCCTGAGATATTTTTAGAAAATTGAATCACGAATGTTACGTGCTCTAACAATAGTTTTACAATGGACTTCTTATCTTAATTTACAAAACTGAGGAAAAACTTTAAAAACATTATATAACTAAATCTGACATCATTTAAGACGGATTATAGTTTTATGAAGTACAGTTTTGCGTGAAAACTTTAAAAAGTAAGTTGTTTTAAATTTTCAAATGGTAATTTTAATTGTTAAGCATTAAAAAAAAGAAAATGGAGAGTAAAGCTAGATACATTATTAGTGTTTTTCCTGCAATATTTTTGTATGCCTAAATACCTTCTCGATGTATTATGGAATGGCATTGCCAGTCTGTCTGTCTATCCGTGTGTCTGTCAGAGCTAACATTTAGTTACATTTGAGGCTACACTGTGCTTTTTCTTTGATGCCATTCATTCAGTAAGCTTAATTCATGTAGCTATTTTCCTATATGTTGATATAAAGAACAATAGAGGGAACAGTGGAGTTGCCACAAAAGTATTAGAGTAAGAATGTCTGTCTGTCCATCTGTAGACAGTATTAGTTTCTGTAGCATAACTTTAGAAGGATTTCAGTAGTTTTGTTTATAACCATTCATTATTTTTAGGGGAAATTTCAAAATAACTGGAAAGCGGACAGTGCTAACCATGATCAGACTGCAGGGATGTGCATAAGCATGGTCATATACATGGGCATATTGCCATCAATGGAATGTGTGCGTGTTTGAATGGTTAAAGTCACTGCATGTATTAGGTTTCTGTAAGCTAAATTGTTAATCAAAACTTGGCCTAATGACTACTTTAGGCTTACCAAGACTAATGCATGATTGTTTAACAAAGCTAAGTTAAGCACCATACCAAAGTGCTGTCCCTGAAGTCATTCTGTTGTTAGCACAACTTTTGAAATTTCTTAAACTTTGAATAGACTGTTGGAAATGCGGGCAAATCCATTTACACAAACTTAGCAGGTAAAGGACTGAAGAAAACTGAATGAGGTTACTCTTATTAGCTCGACTATACGAAGTATATGGAGAGCTGTCCTACTCGCCTCCGCGTCCGCGTCCAGATTTTAGATTAAAGTTTTGGGTCAGTAAAATATTTTTCACTATAACTTTGTCATTTCTTAAGGTATCAACTTCAAACTTCAAATATATGTTCCTTATCATCAACCACATCTTATGTGACAAGGTTCATAACTGTAGCACCAATATTTTCAGATTTATCTCCCCTTGGACTTAGAATTTTCCTTAAAAAATACTATTTTTTACTGTTACTTCTTTATTTCTTAAGGGATCAACCTCATACTTCAAATATATGTACCTTATCATCATCCCCATCTTATGTGACAAGGTTCATAACTCTAGCACCAAATTTTTCAGATTTATCTCACCTTGAACTTAGAATTTTCCTTAAAAAATACTATTTTTTACTGTTACTTCTTTATTTCATAAGGGATCAACCTCATACTTTAAATATATATACCTTATCATCATCCCCATCTTATGTGACAAGGTTCATAACTCTAGCATCAATATTTTCAGATTTATCTCCCCTTGAACTTAGAATTTTCCTCAAAAAATACTTTTTGTTACTGTTTCTTCTTTATTGCGACGGACGCGCCCTCAGGCGCGTTCAGAGCTAAGTCATCTACACATGGGATTTCGTTGGCTACACTCGCGCAATGTGTCCTAAACCAATTAACAGCCCAAGAAATAGTACATGAATTTGATCCTTCAAAACACCCATACTTTGTCTGGATATCTTAATGTCTTCCATATTTAGCCTTTTCAATTTCAAATTAAGTTATCCAAGTTAAAATATTAACGTATATTATTGATAAAAACGTTGTAGTCCCGTAGTATTATTGCGCAATATGCAAATTACTGCTGCTGAAACGAAATTTACCGCTGTCGAAAAAGTAGGACAGCAAATTATACTACAATAAAGTGTAATCTCTGAGTTCCAAGACATTATTAGTAGGAAATAAATATTTTCTACATTATACAAAACATTATTATTAACAATCAAAAGTTTTTCGTGACTCTAGGATAACTCGCGCATTAATAAAAGAAAACTATTTTCGTGACTCATACCGCGGTTTAGCTGAATATTCAGCAAGTTATTAATATTAAGATACAGTTTCAATGGCTAGTATAAATATCTATTTTTGAAAATGCATGTAAGACACTTTACCGCATGTAGTCTTGAAATCATGGTAAGGAATTATATATATCAGTTTCTACTTCCGATTCTTGTGGTTTGTTTACATATTTACTAGGTCATGATATGAGTTAACCTTCGATATTCTAAAAATAGATTCTTGCTTTACCTGTTCTGATTTTTGGACAGGCGATTAGGAAATACAACCAGCGGATTGTAATGCAATAGTTTTAGAAATGCTATACAATTGTAAGAAGCAAACAAGTTGAAAATGGAATTTAGTGTGAAGTTGAAAGGACAACTAAACACTGTAGTGCTTAAGTGACATTTAAATTAAAATAAAAACGATTGTGCTCTGGCCTCTACATCTTTACCTTGTAAATAAAAAATCTAAGAAATACACTATTAATTGCTGATGATTTTAACCAATTTTTTTTTAATGAGACATATCCAAGAGAAATAAAAAATACAAATGACTTATATTTTATTGTCTGTATGCCCACTATGATATAACACGAAGCAATTCTAAATAGCATTCTCAAATGTACAATGTATTTGTTGTTTGAAGTTTATTTGCCTGGATTTATTCTAGAAATATTTCGTTGATAGTTTTTTTTTTCTATTTACATATCATTTCTTAGAATAAATCGATAAGGACACTGATTAACAAGTTTGACCAGAGTTTTTAGGCATAAATTTCATCCTGTATTTAAGTGCTTGAAAGTAGAAAATCTGAATTATATCAATTTGGGAGCACAAAATATATTGCCCTCGTACAAAATCTCGAACTTGTATGGAAGCAAATTTTCTCTGTTATATATTTTTGTTTTTTTTTTTATTTTGTTTTTGTTTTTCTAAAAGAAGGCCTTGGTGTAAAATCTCCGGTTGCATGTCCGTCGCATTCAGTGCTGCACACTTTGATTTCTTAAGGGGATCAACCTCATACTTCAAATATATTTAGCGTATCATCATCCCATCTTATGTGAAAGGTTCATAACTGCTAGCACCCAATTTTTAGATTTATCTCCTTTTTAAACTTAGAATTTTCCATAAAAAATATATTTTTTACTGTTACTTATTTATTTCTAAAGGGATCAACTTCCATACTTTTAAATTAATTTACGTCTATCATCCCAATTTATTGACAATTCATAACTCAGCAACCAATATTGCAAGAATTCTCCCTAAACTTAGATTTTTTTTACTAGAAAAATGTTATTTTTTTATTATAATTTTTTTATTTTTTAAAGATATCTACCTCTAACTTCAAATACTTATTCCTTATCATCAATTACATTTTATGTGACAATGTTCATAACTCTTGAAGCAATATTTACAGATTTATCGCTCTTTGAACTTTAGGATTTTTCTTTAAGAAATATAATAACTTCTTTACTTTTAAGGTATCTACTTCAAACTTCAATTATATATTTCTTATCATTACACAAATGTTGTGTGGCAAGGTCCATAACTCTAGCATGGACTATTTCTAGAATTATTTCCCCTTGATCTTGGAATTTATGTAACAAATGTTATTTTTTACTATAACTTAATACATAATTATACATAATTTATTTTTCTTTCATAGTTTTGTCCTCCTTACTGCGTGCCAGTATTTTATTAGTCGGCTTCGCTGTCTCCTGTGAAGCTCTTGTTATACTATAAGCAATACTAATATAAATATGTTGTTAATTGAAGCCAGAATGAATCACTTGACAAGTTTACATCATCAAGATTTTGATCAGGAAGGGACTTATTGTATGGGGAAATTTGATAAAAGTTTCCTATGTAAATGACATATACTGTCTCACTTTCCTTGATGTAATGTAAATCTTTCATAATTTGACTCTAAGCCAACTGGTGGGGGCTGAATCCACCCTTGCAGTCATTGCAGACCAAGATCAGTTTGATCAGTTATAACATCCGAACTGTTTGCTTTATATTATAGTCAGTACATATTTTGAAATTTTCCCTAAAAATGATGAATGGTATTCCCTAGGTTGAAAGATGGACAAGTTCATTTAAGATATTTAGGGTGGTAAGGGTTGAAACAGGGAAACTTAAGTCATATTTTGTTTGCAACTGGAAATAAGTGGACTTTTTATTTCCTTATATTTAGTAACACAGGTGACAAAAAATGACAAGTCCATTTTTAAACAGTCATTTTTTTCCTCTATTCTAAATAAAACAAGCATTTGATAGTATTGCGGGCAATACAGTAGTCCCCTACCGGTCCCTCAAAAAGTTCTTTAATTGTCATACACTCCTGTGTATTGCCATTTATAATGAATTTGAGGATGAAGTCTGTATTTGAAAATATCGACCACAAAACATAATAAAATAAGTTTGTCTATATCACAGTAATGTGTTAAGTTTCCATGCTTAGTAAGGAAATTATGTTTATACAACCTTGTCATATTATTATGATGTGGGATTTTAAAGTAAATCCTATAAGGAATGAAGAAGTTGGAGTGAAAATAACCAGTTTCTCGAAAAAAAATCTAAGTTCAAGGGGGACATAATTCTGGAAATAGTCTTGCTAGAGTATTTAACCTTCTCAAAAATGTTGAGTGATAATAAGAAAACATATATATGAAGTTTGAAGTAGATACATTAGGAAATAAAGAAGTTATTTAAAAAAAAGACAACATTTTTTTCCCTAAAAAATCTAAGTTCAAGGGAGGTAATACTGATATTTTTGTGCTAGAGTTATAAACCTTGTCACATATGATGTGGTTGATGACCAGAAACTTATATTTAAAGTTTGAAGTAAACACCTTAAGAAATAAAGAACATATAGTGAAAAAGCTGAAAAATTTAAATCAGAAATCTTGAAATTCAGGCTATTTGTTGCCATAGCAACCAGAATTTTCAACATAGGAAGAAAAGAAAAAGATGTGCATAATCTCCAGACTGCCATCTACCCATATTTCAAGTTTCATAAAAATATTTTCAGTACTTTTTGAGTTATCACTGGATCCAGTTTATGTGTTAAATTTGCCATATTTTCAGACTATTTGTTGCCATAGCAACCAGAATTTTCAACATAGGAAGAAAATAAAAAGACGTGCATAATCTCCATACTGCCATCTATCCATATATCAAGTTTCATAAAAATATTTTCAGTACTTTTTGCGTTATCGCGGGATCCAGTTTTGTGGACGGACGGACTGACGGACTGACAGACAGACAGACAGACGGACAGACAGACGGACAGACGGACGGAGGGTAAACCTAAAGTCCCCTCCGGTTAAACCGGTAGGGGACTAATAAGCCATTACTCAAACTTCATTAATATTTTTCCTCTCAGGCTGCATAAAGCATGAGCAATCAGAATGGACTTTATCCTATGATATTTAGCCATAATCATATAATTATTGTTTTTATGTTAATAAAGTTAACATATTCTAACTATTTAAGCATAAAACTGCAATGAATTCTGGTTAAGGTAGTTGTTTGAATATTTCATAAGTTGCAGACTCACAACTCCCTATCCTCACTTTATCTCACTGAATAAAATAGAAATAGAAAAATAATTATAAGTTATGGAAATGTCTTTTTGTTGAATTTTTCTCATGATAGACTGTAAAGCAAGATGTACATTTATAGGTTTACAAGTAGAACTTCACTCAGTATAAAAAGATCCTTTCAATTAAACTTTTAATCTGGTATTAGCTATCTAATCATACAAAATTCCTGAATTTTTGTGAATACACATCAATTAGTCCAGCTGGAAGTTTTACAAACAATTAACTATCACAAATCCATAGGTAAATTTTATTTAAACATTATAGATGGAAATTAAGTCACTAAGTCTACAGATTTGCAGTCATTGGTCAAAATGTCAAAAATATTATCAGGTATGTCATCGTTTCGGAAAAAGGTGCAGACCACTGATACAATTTTTCACATGTCTCGGCTTAATTTAGAAACTACAAGACATGACTAGGAAGCAAAAAATGTAAATTGATACATGTTGATGCGTTCGTTGACATTTCAGAATTTGCCGCTAAAAATCCTAATTTAGGAAAATTATTCCGTTTATGGAATAAATTGACGTTGTTAATGGTGGTTTATACTAGTAATTGTGAAAAATTGGACATTGGCCTAGTTTGTCACGTAAATGATAGTTGAATCTACGTAATTGATAAGAACGGCTTTTTGTCTTTTTATCTTTACAGGTAAAACTAGTGTGGACGTGGTCAGCGTAGTAATTTTTGAGTAGGGAGTTAGGTAAGTACGTCTTACATTTATGGAATTTTAATTAAGGTTTTAGATATTAAGATGACTTGTTTTTAAAATTTTCAGTGTTTTTTTTTTTTTATTTTGCTTGTATAAAATTTAATCAAAGTTGATTGCCATTTTACATTTTTTGCATATATGAATCAGTTACCATAGTTAAGCTACGTTTTTAATTAAAGAAAAGAAATCAGTTTCATTAATAAACAAAGGTAACTTACTAAAATCTAGCCAAGTATAGATAATATATGTTTTAATTATAGAGTACATCAAAATCGATACAAAAATTGTTAATTGTAGCTTTTTACAAATCTGATATCATGTTCTGTAAAATTGTCAGATGAGGCAGTTAAAAGGTGCAGCCTCATTTGGTCTCCCCTAGGAACTTAAAATATGATTAGTTTTTTTTTATTGATAAATATGAGATGATGTGGTACAGGTGTGTTTTATACAGGTGACAATGATTAATAGCAAACAATTTAGACAGTTAATATGTGCGCTTTCAAACTTTGTGTCAATTTTAAGTAAACATTTTTGTTTGTTGTTGTTGTTTTTTTTCTGTCATATCTGTGGTGTGGTAGTATAAGGAATGTTGTATTTATATAAACAGAGATGGAGTTAGCGGGAGATGGAGCAGCGATACAGAAGAACACCGTTAAAAACTTGGAGTGATGACAGGGAGTTTGTCTGTAAAGAAACATTATCATCTAGTCCAGATAGAGCCCGATTGGGACCAGATACATTAAGACATAAGGTATTTCAAACTTTATTTTTATGTAACTTCATCCCCTAGCATATATTGCATGTTTGTTGAGGGATGGCTATTTTTGGAACCACTTTGTCCCGCTCCATCCTGTTCGAATTGTTTTTCTTCAATATCTTTTGAACCAGTACAGATATTCATTTCAAACTTGAAATATAATTATATGAAGGGTCATAAGTGTGCTCGGTAAGCCAAGTTTCATAACTCTTCATTTTCATCTATAAAAAAAGTAATGCCCTGATTTTGAAATTTATATTTTTTTGAATATAAGATATTAACTTGAAACCAGAAATATTATATGTATAGAGAGAGGGTCATCATCAACTATCATGCTCCAAGTCTCACAACTTTTTATTGCATTTGACATTGTTATGCCCCTTATCCTGGAAATTTACATCTCAAACACCGAATTTACTTAAATATCTCAAACACCATATCAGAATATTCACTTGAAACTTAATATGGAGGGACTAAAACAGAATTAGCACAACACTGTTTTGCATTTTGACAAAGTAGTGCCCCTTCGTTACCAGAAAAAATCTTTATAGTTGCATTTACTATAATATCTCTGAAAATAGGATAGATATAAGCTTCATATTTAAAATGTTAATACAGGGTCACAAGCAATGATATTGGGCTTTGTTTTACATCTCTTTAAGTTCTACATGTCTTTGTTATGTTTTAACAAAGAAATGCCTCTTTTTACTAGGAAAATTATCTTCTGTTTTAATTGTTGTACTGAAATAATTTTTAGTTGTACTGAAATAATTCAGACACAAATTTGGATATTTCCTTGAGAGTTTTGTAATTCTGTATTGCATTTGAAGAAAGATACGCTCTTCTTTTCCTAGAAAAAGTGTCAGAGCCATGCAGGAAGAACTGGGCTGGCAATCCCTTGAACATCGCAGACTGGACTGTAAACTCTATGTTCTATAAGATATACCATAATGTACTTGCAATTAATAGCCCACCATATGTATTATGTACCACTTAGATTAACCAGACATATGCACCCCTTATCCCTACATCAAATACAGGTTTCCTTCAATTATCATATTAAGTGCTCCTTCTTCCCCTATAGCATAGTACATGTACTATTGGCAACATTGCTACTCTACCCAACTTCAGTTGGTTCAAATGGGCAGAAGTAGGGTTGCAGTATTAACCTAACTTCCAGTGTTTTTAAAACTTTTTTTATCCTTTGTCGTTTTCTCTCACTGTTAACATTTTAACCAAATCTAGAATACTTTTCATGTTTCATCATCCTGGCATGTTTATAAAGCCCAGACTATTTTACTTTATTAACAATCAAATGCACACTTAATCCCTGGCTAAAATACTTGTGAGAGCATTTGGTATTATTCAGAGATAGATAGAAAAAGTCTTTAGATTATGCATTAACTATGATATTTTCAAACCAGAACATGTATTAACTTGTGATTTTGTTATATAATTTTAAAGAACTTACTAACAGTTCAACATGCATATTTACAAGGTATTAACAAAGCAAGTTGTAAACTGTTGATATTCATGCAAAAAGTAAAAAGTGATATCTTTTTTTCAATATATATATTTTCTTTCTTCAGATTGATCCATTATCTGAAAGGGGAAAGAATCTCACAATGGTAAGAAATATGGGGACCAATCTTCAACCTTCGGGGACCAGTCTGTCATCTTCTGACATGTGCGCAGACAGAAACAATTCAGCATTATTACGTCGTAGTTTTGACATTCCAAGGAGCACATTAGATCTGTACATTAGCAATCAGAGAAGTTTATCTGATTCCGAGTTAGAAAAGACTTCAAGTAGTTTGCCGTCGAGCATGACCTCAGAGTTTTTAGATTTACCTCAAAGATTGACAGCTCGCTCGATTTCACCGGTCAGAAGTAGATTAGACTCTGAAAAACTTTATCTTGATCTCACAAATGTGAAATCAAATAGATCTCAAAAACATTTACGTTCAAATAGCCATAATCCAGAACAACCTGCTGTTGAATTGCCAAAAATAGAATTCAGCAATATAGACGTGGTAGTTGACAATATTGAATGTAACGAGGGAATTCAGCAGTCTGAATATTACATGGAAAATGAAAGTGATACACATTTCGAAAATGACAATTATGTTTCGAGAAATTCAAACTTATGGAACAATTTAGATCCACAGATGCATTCTTTGTTAAGTCCACGTAGTAGTAATGGCAGTATTTGTAGTTATCGATCAAGCAATGCAGATTCAGCAATAGAAATGCTTACGCCTGATGAAGAAATTCATGAACATTCTTTATCGGAAGTTACGGAATCTCGACTTTGGGATCATAAACTGAAGTCAAAAAGAACTGAAATTCATGAACTGTTTAATGATTCTACTGAAGGTGCTAATTATGATATACATATGATTCACTCATCTCCCAAAGCTGAAAAAAGTTCATTTCATTCATCAAAAGAAGATATCAAACCTAGTCCTCCTCCATTAGACATTTTTCATAGAATGACTCAGCAGATTTCATCAGATGAAACAAATACACCTTCACAATTGAAGAGCAATAAAGGGACACGACCTCCGTCTGTTGTCATTAGTGATTTTAGCAGCCAGATTTCATTAGAGAATAAAAGTTCACAAACATTGACATCGGACATCACTACGCAAGCTCAGGGCAATTTTCTTGATGATCGTTACTTGTTCTTCCATCGTAGTTTTTCCAACAGTTCAATAAGCTCAAATGAATCAACTTTGTCTATACAATCAGATTCTTCACAAGATGTAGAGGACCAGCAGGAATTTCCCATAAAACTTTCCAGAAAGGTAAGTCTTAAATTTATCTTAAATATAGATATAGTTGTATAATCCATTGTGGGCATATCAGATAGAAAAATAAAAACCACTGCTGCAAAAAATATTTTCCCCAACAGAAGACATTTGATTAGCATAAAAGAGTAAAGCTAACATAACACGTCTATTGCAAGCATCCAATGATTTTGCATATTTCAGGTAAAAGTCAGTATGACCTTGAGCAAATAAAACTGCTTTCATGAAAAGTATGAGATATGAAAAATTACAATAGGGATCCTTCTGATATTTGCTTAATTGACCTGTTCTATAGAGAATAACATGCTACTGTCTTTTGATATCAATTTTATCAGGCGAGGCTGATATGGGCTAGAAAGGGCGAGGCTTGCCGAGCCCTTTCTGCCCATATCAGCCGAGCCTGATAAAATTGATATCAAAAGACAGTAGCATGTTTTTCTATTTATCATGTAACACATAATTACTGTCAAAATAACAAAATAATCTACTTTTAAATAGCGAATTTCGTTAAAAAGGGGGATTTTTGTTCAAAGAAATAATTCTTGAAAACAAATTCCTCCGCCCCTGAAACTTAGAATTTGTTATTTGCGGCCATTTTTTCTTTCGACTCGGATAAAAAATACAACAGAATGTAGGCCTAATACGATATCATTCTTAACTTTAATTTAAACATCGATCCAAAAATCCGCTTAGAATCACATAAACTAAACTTTTATACTGCAATTTTTTATCTTGAATTGTTAAATTCAAAAGTTCACGATAATTTCAATCAAAGAAAAGTCAAATCGGCAGTCAAACACAAGCTACACAAACATGCGTCTTATTTTTTAAACGAAACAATTTGTTCACTTATTAAATAATAATCCGGCGAAATAAAGTAAACATTTACAAGTTCTCAAAGAAAATCGTCTAGCCTGTTTGTTATGATTACATGTATAGTATGACGTGAACATCGATGATGTCATTTGCAATATAAATTATGACGTCACTTCATTTAGTTGGTGCTAAAACTATTCGCTATCTAATTTATTCGTAATTGAAATCGAAATAATAAATAAATAAATTTCGCATATTGATTTAAGACTTGTAAGGGTATGAGATTACATTGTAGAATTCACATGCTGATGAAAATGAGAACATAAGCAATTGAAAAAAGTCCGTTAAAATGGGCGGGGCTAATTTTTGATATCAGGTTACTGACGTGATATCAAAAATAATTATCAGGCAAGTGTTATCGGGCAGTTACCATAGCAGTTGCATGATAAAATGCTGAGGCTGTTTCCTGTCAGTGACCACATCTCCTTAACTGTTGTCAGGCATTCTGGCTATCCCGTAAAGTTTGGACTTATGACATTGGGTGCCTAAGCTGCTACAATCAAGCTCTGTGTCATTAATGTATCAGTCATCACTATTTCAAACTACATTGTACATGTATACACAATTGAAATGTCATATTGTCACTACAGGTGAATTTTTGAAGACAACAAAATATCATTACTTGTCAAAATACATATTCTAGCAGATTGCTTGTATCAGGTCATGTGCAGGTTTGTGCCTGAAATGCATGAAGCAGTATTTGAGTTGTTTTACCACCAAAAAAAGCGAGAAAGTAATACCGTATAACTGTAATTTTAGATGTGATTTAATACCAAAACTAACAAATTCAAATAATTTTTGAAGTCACTTTTCTAAGGTTTTCAATTGTTTTAATAGGCGCTTTATTTGTGGTCTTTTCCCCAAGTTTTGAACAACTATTTTGAAGAAAAGGTAGTCCTTTCATTGTGTTAAACAAATTGAGTTCATGTTAAACTTTAACTGAATAGACCTAGACTAGACGCATTTCATAAGCATGACTAATTTAGGGGTTTTTATTTTTTGTTCAAGGTCACGCACATACATAGAGCTTTGATGTGGTTGTACCTCATTATATCATTTCAAATCTTTAGGTTTATGTCATAAAATGTGCTATTAATTTGTCCAAAAAATACATTTAACTTTCTCTCTGGTTTAGCAGGTGCAAAACCATATGTTAAGCTGGATTTAGTAAACCAATTCACACATTCTAGGCTTGTCATATTTTTGACTTTGATATTAAAAGAAATCCCAACAAAATAACTACCTTTATTATGAAAAGAATATATTAAGATCACAGGCACGAGTATTGGACCTGGGAAGAAAAAATATGACCAGATTGATAAAAAAGTGTCAAAAAACCAAAAAAAATGTAAATAATGACCCCCTTTAAAATAAAAGTTAAGTATAGTATATTATAGTAACTTATAGTATATTTTTAAAGGGGGTCATTATTTACATTTTTGTTGTTGTTTTTTTGACACTTTTAAGATGAACACAGGTTTTTTTTATCAATCTGGTAATATTTTTTCTTCCCAGGTCCGATACTCGTGCCTGTGATTAAGATAAGTTTAAATTGACTTTGTAAAAATCCCCCTTGCACTCGAAGCTTTGTTGGTGTGACCATGATGGATTGAAATCTAGGTCACTAGGTCAAGCCAATGAGAAATGAAGTCGCACACTTAGATGTAATAATTTCTACCTAATTTATCAATATTTCAGTCTTTAAGACATAATTCAATTGATATGACAGGATTTGCTGTAAGCGTTATTTTTATAAGTGAAGTTTTTGTACAAAACAGTTAAGCTATTTTTATGCCCATTCTTACATATTCTTGACCGTAGGGTAACAAGTGCTTAAGTCTTGTTTTCATTTGCCTCATTAAACTTCACACATAAACATGTGTTCGGAATCATAGTGGTCATTCACTGTCAAAGGCACATAACTCAGGATGGATTTTTTACTGAATTTAATGCATTTATGAAGGATCTTGTTTTATATAGCCAGCCCGCATAGCTCAATCGGTTAGAGCGCGAGACTTGTAATCTCGACATTGTGGGTTCGATTCCCGGGCTGGCCAACTAAAATTACTAATCAGTCTTTCGGATGAGACTTTAAATCGAGGTCCCGTGTATGGGTGCTTAAACACTTGGCACGCTAAAGAACCAGGAGAAGCTTCTGGAATTGGGGCATCTTTCTGTATCTGTAATTGCACTATCCTCCAAAAATCTAAAATGACTAATACTCTTCTGGAGGACTCGCCCATATGGGCAACCGGTGGCGAGTATAAATAAACGCAAATACACACACACAAATCTTGTTTTACATAATAGTCAAACATGCATTCTGACAGCTCTTGTTCTGAATTGTTGGATCTTAAGTTAACATAATGATTAATATGTTTGTGTCTAAAACCTTCAAATATAAAAAGAGATTTGCCAGAATATATTTATTACCTGGAATTGGAGGGAAAACTTACTTTTCAAAAATTTTTAATTCAAAACTTTTTTTAACATCATTATATTTGTCATCATGTCAAAAGAATTTTTTTTTCTTGCAAACATTTTGTATGGGTTATGTGAGATTGTTTTCATGTTAGCAGTTAAAAAGGTAACACTACCTTTGTTTGCTGTACTGATTTATTTAAAGTTAAATCTGTGTTACATTCTCATGTTTGTCACATACCATATTTCTGGGTAGTAATAAGAGATAAATACGAGTAGGTAAATTACAATGTAGTCAATGCTTAATTGTCACACTTAAGTTATTTATATTTATAGCGGACATACCTTTTTAGCAATGAAAAGATTATTTTATTTATATTTATAGCGGATATGCCTTGTTAGCATTGAAAAGATTATGTTATTTATATTTATAGCGGATATACCTGCTTAGGATTGTAAAGAAACACTCCGAGTTGTATGAGTGTTAAAATTAATCTGACAAGGTGTTTTGAATGGAAATAAGATAACATCAGTTAATATAGTCTATTTTCTTTATTATGAATATCATGATTATCTTCTAGAGTTTCATTTTAGTGAAAAAATTGTTAGAAATATAGTTTTCAGAGAAATGAAATCATTTACATGTATTTATATATATATTAATTTCAAGGACTTTGTTCACAGATAAAGGAATAGGACCTTCTGTTAAATAAAGGAAAAAATAACATGGTATTTGCGCAAAAAGGGAAGAAAGGGCTTTATGTAAATTGAATTTTAGTGAAAAAATGCATGATTTTGATTGCAGTTAGGTTCTTGTTCCACCTTCAAGACCTGTCAATTGAATGTTCCTGTTTCTCTTTCAATTACAGTTGATTGCTATTCCACCATCAAGTGCTGTTGATTTAAAGGTTTAATAGACCTGTTTAGTTCCTCTTTCAAGTTCTGTTGACTGCAAGGTTTCAAAGACCTGTTCTTGTTTCACTTTCAAGCTCTGTTGATAAAAAGGTTTCAAAGACCTGTTCTTGTTTCACTTTCAAGTTCTGTTAATAAAAAGGTTTCAAAGACCTGTTCTTGTTTCACTTTCAAGTTCTGTTGATAAAAAGGTTTCAAAGATCTGTTCTTGTTCCACTTTCAAGTTCTGTTGATTACCAGGTTTTAACGACCTGTTTTAGTTCCACTTTCAAGTACTTATGTTTGACCTGTTTGTGTTAAACTTTCAAGTTCTGTTTATTTTGATACTTGTTTTTGTTCAACTTTTAAGTACTTTTGATTGCAACGTTTCAAAGACCTGCTCTTTTTCCACTTTCAAGTACTGTTGAGAAAAAGGTTTCAAAGACCTGTTTTAGTTCCACTTTCAAGTTCTTTTTTCACTTTCAAGTTTTACTGTTGACTGTCATGTACTCCTCTGAGGCCCACATGGAAGATTGGGAAACCGAATGTGTAAGCCTCGATAAAGGCGCTACTTACTTTCTACTAACTTACACTGTGTAATACAAGCACAGCTTTACAAAATGCTGTTCTGACATATTGTCTTGGATCAATAATACTTTATTCTGACTCTTTTGAGTTATGACTTTAAATAACATTTAATTTATGAGTACTAAGATAACAATTTTTCACTAAATTTTGACCTAACAGCATGACTGTAAACTAAAAGCAAAGGTTACTAAACTTGTTGAGATAAGTGGCAAAAAGATTTATGATTTCATTAAATGATACTGCCATGTTTGTCCAAGATAAAA